TTTTTCTGAGAACTTCCTTATATACCGATCTTCTAATTACATAGACTTAGCCACAGGGCTTCGTGTACATTCATATGTTTTCGTAGATTACAGAGTTGCCTCCAGCTGGAATTGAACCGTCAACCTTGTCTGTAGAGGGAGGAGTGCCTAGACCACTAGGCTACAGGACCCCATCCCCAAAACAATTGCAAAATTATGTACATATTATAATTCTAATGCAAAAAAAGAACTTTCTTATTTTGTAAATGAAATAACTGAAAATGAAGTTTTAGAGATATTAAATCAAACAAATTTTAAAACTTTTGAAGAAAGATTAAAAAAAGAAGGATTTGATAAAGATGAATTATTATTATTTAATAATTTAGATTTTAATAAATTTTATATGACTAGAGAAAATTTAGTTTTATTTTTAGAAGAAAATTTAGACTTAAATGATGAAATTTTTATTGATAATTTAGAAAATTTTCCTGATATTGAAGATAATGATGAAGATTCATTATTAGAAACTAATGAAATTTTAGAAAATATGATAGAACAAACTAATCAAATTTTAGAACATGATGATTATAATTGAGATCCTAATGATTATTTAAATTCAGATGATGATTAAAGGTAATTATTTAAATAAATATTAATTTTATTATTTATTAAAATTTTATATTAATTATATTTATAAATATTTATAATTTATTATATAGATTCAAATATATATTAGATTTTAATTTTTATGATTAAGTTTTTTACTTAAATAGAAAGTTTTTTTTATCTGATTAGCAGATTTTTTCTTTTTATTAATATTTTTAATTTTTTTAGTTTTATTTTTTTAGTATAAATATTTATTTTTTTATTAAACTTATTTTACTTATTTTATTTTATATTTTTATATAATATTATATTTTTATATTTTTATTTTTTTAAAATTTAATAAATCTAATAAAATAAATTTTTAATTTATTTTTAAATATTAAAATAACTAAATATTGATTTAAAATATTTATTTATTATTTAAAAATTTAATTGTAATATATATTATATTTATTTATATAAACTCAATTTGTACAATTAATAAAAATAACTAAAAATTTGTATAACCTAAACTTTAACTCTTATTACTATTAACTAATCTAAAGTTATTATATATATCTAATTATTATAAAAATATTTTTCTTAAAAATTAATCAAATTTTTTTTTTTTTTTTTTTTTGGTGTTAAGATGACCTCTTTGGTCTTTTGACTTTTAGTAATCACTTATCAGTATTGTAATTTAATGAACCACTACAGGAGAGCATACAATTGGCTACACATGTAACTTTTCTATATTACCTATTTAAGAAGTCTGCCCAAAGGTTTCCTACTAATTGCTGTACCTAACACTCCTGCTTGGATGTTCCACTTTAGACGCTCTGAACCTGTAATCTGTATTAACATCACTGGGTCATATTCAGATACTCAGATCATCATCTCAACCTTAGGATTAATTTATCCTTGAGGTAAACCCTCCAGAGCCTTCTGTATTTATTTTTACAGCTGACTTAGGTATCACTATGGCAGAACCAACACTTGCAGTCAGAGCTAACCATTAAACTGTTATGCTCTTATAGAGTTCATTTAGACTCCAGCATCTACTTCACAGCATAACTCCAGTACTTTAGTATATCCCTGTCTTTTCTCTTGCGCTTTTAACAAACTTCCAATCCAGTTAGCCTATGTAGGACTATGACCAGTCCATCAGAATATTGGGTTGACCCAATATCCTTTTTCTCCAGTTTATTCCAACAGTCTGGTTGGTGATATCTTCGAAACTCCCAACCTGGAGATTCATGACCATTGGCTACTAAAACAGAGTACTAGACCTAGATATCCATTTTACCAGGCTAGTCTTTATAGTAGGGCCATCAAAGATCTAGTTATCTCTCTATTCAGATCTTTCTAAATGGACTTTTTGTTACCCAATTTCAACAGATTTACATAACTACAAAGACTTATCTAGTGTTTGCACCACCCAATATGTTAGTTTGCATTCTTCTGTATAACTCCAACATTGCACAAATGCCTTATGACCTGTCAGTCATGCTGGTGCAATCGCCATTACATGTATTCTAATTCAATTGTTAGTAACAGTTGCCATAATACAAATATTACATAAGTGATTATCCAAATTTTCATCATCAATGGAATTTAAACACCCAACCTATCACTTGAGAGGTTGACAACCTCATGACTTCACTAGGTCATCACACCTCTTAAAATTAATCAAATTTATTATTTAAAAATTATAATTAAATTTAACTAAATAATTATAATTAAATTAACTAAATAATTATTTATAAATATTTTATATAAGTAAATTTAAAATTTCAAAATTTAAAAAAGAAAAAAAAACTCTTTCTGCAAATCCATTGTACAAAAATTAATTAAAAAATTCATTTGTAAAAAAACACTTATAACTATTTATTTTACTAAGACAACTTATCTTGAGCTTCTAAGTAAACTTGTTCAGCTCACAAATTTATATTTAGTTTGCAAATATCAAGCTTCTATACCTCAAACTCATTGAAAAATTGTACTGACAGTCTTTGGCCTCTAGTTAATAACTTTTAATCATCTTGCAGTTTCTACTACTTTAACCTGCTTTATACTCTTAAGTAAAGTTGTAGTATATATTTACCCAGTTAAAACAAGCTCTAATCGAAGATTTTTGACCTAATATTGACCAAACTACAATTAAATTCAACATTTACTCTCTTGCAAAACTTCTTTTTTATCTTTTGTTCTTACTCTGTTCCCTTTTCCCCTTATACAGTTTTCATATAACTATACCATTACTTTCCAATTCATACCTTATTAATTTACACTAACACTTTGTAACCAATCTATTAATAGAAACTCATTCATACAATCAATATTTCTATATTTAGTTCTTATTAATATTATACAATAATTTGTACTGCAAATTCTACTTGTATTTAGTACCTGAGTCACATTAGTGACCCTATCCATCTCTATTACACTTTTGTGTTATTCCAGTGACATCTTTAAACTATAACCCTTACATTTAGTTATAACCCTTGTAAAATTAATTTTTACAACTATACTTTCTACTTAGAAAATATATCCAAGTCTAAAAAATCTCTATCTAACTTATTAATATTTAACAATACCTACCTTAAGTCAACAAGAGTCTGATAGAACAAATCTTGATTACTTCTATCAAAACTTTTCCAACAGTTTTGGAATTGCTCTTTATGAAGAAGATAACAATAATAAGGCCTGCCCAATTTCTTTCAAAGTCCAACCTACCTCTTGCTTAACAAAAATCTTAGATCTAACAAGATTATACATTTCTTTAAAGCTCCTACTTCTACTTCTTTAATTACTTGTCTTTGTAGCAAATATCATACCAAATTCATCTCAACCTCAAATACCAATTATATTCAAGCTATCGAATTTATAACTGCTTATATCAATAGTAACTCTAAAAAAATTAACAAAACAACTCAAAAACTTATGACTAACCTCTCTTCTTCTATTAACAGTGTTCCTTCATCTCCTACACCTGATATACATTACCATACTTGTTCTAAATGCTCTCTTCCAATTGGTTGTACAAAAAGAAATGAGCATCACTATCCTACTGAAAAATATATTTCTAAAAATAATGAAATCTATTACCTTACTTGTATGACTGCCTCATCCCAACATGAAGCTAGTTCATCCAAAACCAAGAAAAATCTTATTCAAACCTTTCAAAACATCTTATATGAATCTTCTTAAACTACCAATCCTCTTATAACATCTTTTCATCAGACCTTAATTTCCTCGAATCTTATCGATTCTTTTTTTTCTACAACTACTAATACTAATTCTACTACTAACCAACCTTCTACTACCAATACTCTTGATATCTCTAGCCTTAATCTCAACAAGACCAGTAACATTAACCAATCTGAAAATACTTCTAATAAATCTCCTCCTCAATCATACTCTAGTGTTTTCAAACCAAAATCTAATCCTACATATGACTGGGTTACAAATTTTCCAATTACTGAAGAAATGCAATCTAATAAAAAGCTACAAATCTCATTTTCTCTTCAACAATTCACCATCCTTAAAAAATTCCTTTATGATTTCTATCCTGGCAAAGAAATTAAGCCAGCTACTACTACACAACCAGCACTCAAAGCATCATTCTATTATATCATCTGAATTATGGCTGGACAATGTCCTGAATTCTTAACTGATCTTATCTATAATAGCAATTATAATATTAACAAAAGTGCTACTATTCCTTTTGATCTTCTTGAATTTATTCTCAAAAACCTACTTCTTAAATTTACAACTGTTCTTTTTACAAAACTTAATTATCTTGAAATCTTTGCCTCACCAGTTACCATTCCTCCATATACTGCTTATAACTGCCTCCAACTTTGCCTGAATCTTGTATGACTTCATCTCTTTTTATCCAATAACTACCAATTGATTGATTATCAAAAATTTGCCAAAGATTTAAAGCTTAGACCTAAAAGATTCAAAATTGAATCTTTTATTCAAACTACTGATCTTGACCAAAAATACCTTACCATTCAATCAGATGCTCGATTCAATATCAAGCTTTCTTTTAATATTCCTAAAACTTTAGTTCTCAAAAGATTTTGCATTCCATCTCTCAAAAACTCTCTTGACCATTTCAATTCCTAGTTTGAAACTTAATATCCTCTCTATAGTAAACAATTTTCTTCCAATATTGATAAAGAAAAAGTCTGTACTTCTCTCAGAATTCAATTCCATCAACATTTCATTCTTCAACTCTCTAAACACCTTCCTGAAACTTACATCTTTAAAAAACTTAACTCACTTCATGAGCAACGTAAAGAAGCATCTCATGTTGCTAACTTTTATTGTCTCACTTTGACACAAAGAATGTCAATACCTCGATGATAAAAAATTTCATGATAGTATCAAACTTTTTAATGACATCTTAACCAAATCACACTTATTATTCCCACCTCAGGATGATGAAACATGGATTCATCCAACTCTTAACACCACCTTATTTCATAAAAACAAAGAACATGTTGTCTTATTCGACCAACCTATTCTTACCAAAACTCTGGACTAACTAGCTGATCAAGCTGAAAACTTTGTTTGTAAACAAAACAAAGTTAAAACCAACTCCAAATATCATAATTATTACTTTTATTGATATCTCTCACTCTGCTCCAAACTGCTGCTGAAAACCATAATATACAGTCTCTGTTCAAGGAAGAGGCTATAAACCTCCTAACAAAAAACATCATTAATCCCAAATTTCTTGCTCAAATTATTATATATTTGATGTCATAAAAAACTAAAAGCCAACTTATTTACAAATTGTTAAATATTTTAATGATACTGCTTATCCAACAGCTGAAAAATTTTTAACAAAAAAATTTAATCTTGACTTCCAACCAGTTTTCATTCTTGACTCTCTCTTTTTACATTCTTCTTTTTAAGTTCCTTGTCTTCTACAACCAACATTGAAGCAGTTACTACCTTATTAAAACATACAACCAGTGTAGTTAATAAGAAGAATGA